CACAATTTAAACACTGTTTTAACAATGAATAAGTGTTTAGTATCGCACTTAAAACATACTTCACTGCAATCGTCGCCCATTTAGTCGCATATATTTTGCGCTTTGATTTGAGTACTGATTAAATGCAATGCAAATACAAGCGATGAATTCAATTCATGCAATTACACAAATTAGTGCACTAATTGAAACCTAGCTCAATTTCTCATTGAATACATCATTAATAAAACTGTTAAACTCTAATATATACTTCTCACAAGTCGTGAGACATTATAGCAGTCAGTATGGACGTGTTGGACACCTTTTACTGACAGTCCCTTTGCTATGCTATTAATCAGTACCCAATTTATTAAAAAAGTATGGCAAAAACACTAAAGGCTCGGGCAATGAAACAAACGCAGGGAACTGGAGCTTGACATGAATGCCTTCGTCAAACATTATGGTATGAAATGAGAGGGAAAAAAGTGTTAGTATTTCTTACCTGAAAGCCAGCGATGCGTTCGCCGTCCCATCCATTGACTGATAAACTGGTGTTCAATACGAGTATGAAAAGTGAAGTGGTCAAAAATAGGTGACTTGCGTGAGTGCTCTCTGGCATCGCTGGTCATCCAAATATTGCCAGTTTTGCTGTCCGACGACAAACCCTATTTGACTGCTGTGTTCCTGTCGTTTCCGCTCCTCCACATCAGCCCATCGCACCTATCGTTACAATTGAGTTCATAATCGCATCAATAAGTGACAAAACAGCTGTCAATGGCTATCAAAAAGCTCACCCCTTTCTGGCCATCCCGGAGCCGATGTGTCACTTGTAAGTAGTCGTCAAACGTTGGCTTAGTTTTCATTTTATACGAATCGAGTCGATCTGTAATAGAGATTAACAGACAAAACAATTTAATAAGCAATTCAACGATAGTTACAAAGTGTGAAAACTAACCTAATTTTGCTTCCGATGCCTCCATGCGCTCCCATCGACTCACGGTATGTGTGGGCTGTCATCAAAATCAATTCAGTCAATGGCTTCACTAAAAAAAATCTGTTACTAAAAGACTTACACCAAAGCCCTCGTCTTCAAAGTCCTCCTCCGAAGGCTTCGCCTGTTTTGCGGCGTAAAGACTCAGCCAAAGTCTAAAAGCAAATTCTGAAAGTAGCGAAAATAGTCATAAACTCAGGTAAAGCTGGATTTATATCGTATTTTACGTAATTTTGTATGTCATAAACGGTGTGTAAATTTGTATTATCACATTTTTAATGGACACGTTCTGCAGAAGCGCTCGGACGTCGAGTTTAAGCATAAATTCCGGCAATTTTTGCCATTTCTTATGAATGAGTTGAATGTCTTCGAGCTTCCGGTTGTGGACATTGCTTTGATGGCAAACCACAGCGTTGTTTGAATCGCATTCAATGACATACACCACAAACGAACTCTTGATGGCATAGCTGTAAAAGTCTTCGATGTCTGTAACCAACTCGTTGACGGTGTCGACGATCACAAACGAGTAGCTCTTGTCATCCAACGTCTTCTTATAGGTCTTCAGGAGACTCGACTTATACGTCGACTCCATGTCGGCCTCGAATTCAAACACAAATTCCTTGATTTTAGTCGTTTTTCCCGTTTCTCTGTCTTTGGTCTCTCTCTCGACTTCACTCATGAAGTAGTCGTCAATACTTAGTATTCGCGGCGGACTTCCGCCGAACTCCACTTCCCTATCTTTAATCAATTTAGCTATATATGACTTCCCAGAACCGGGCAGTCCTCGCAATATGATTGCTATGTGTTTGGGTCGATACTCTCGCGTAGGAGGGGTCAGCAGGTCGTCGATAATGAGTATACGATTCTTGGGCTGAGCGAAGTACCGGATCTCCCGAAAGCTAACCGTCTCTTCGACCACTGGCCTCATGGGAAGCACTGGTAGTTTCTGGTTATTACCGAATGAATGCCTTAATTTGTCATTATTTTCGTTTTCAAACCTAAAATTTCTGTTCATTTCATGACTAAGAATGTTATCAAAAGGTTTATCAAATGATTTCTGCGAATAATCCGCTGACAACTGATCCCTTCGCTGCAGATCTCTGTTGTCGTGTCGGTTGTGGTTATAGTCTATGGTTTGCGCCGAGTATTGGCGGACACTTTGATTATGCGACGGAACGGGAGGTCTGTTGTTCGCACCGATTGGGAACTGAGGTCTTTGGGGCCGATTCTGTTGTAAATCCATGGGTTGTCTATATCTCATGGCTTGCATTCTATAGTTAGGCATCTGATTGGCACCTGTATTGCCAAATGTCTGTCCAAACCGGTCGTGAATACTGTTATTTTGTACAGAGTTTTGTTGGTTTGCGTTGAGACCTATTCTCTGAAGTGATGGCAATTCGGAGATAATGTTTGGGTTCGGGTTTTCTGGCGGACGAATGGCTTTCATTTTGTTCACAATATCGTTGACATCAAAGCCTTTCGGGCCGTTAATCACCTGCAGGTCGTCGTTGAGGGACGTATTGGCCGAAGACGTGGCGGACGCGCTCTTGAAGTTCTCCAACGTCTTCAGCAACTCCTGCTGTTTCTGAATGAATCGCATGGCTTCGGCCGCTTTGGACACAGCCGTCGATTCGGCTGAAGACAGCTCTCTGTTTGAAGTCTATGGTTTGCGCCGAGTATTGGCGGACACTTTGATTATGCGACGGAACGGGAGGTCTGTTGTTCGCACCGATTGGGAACTGAGGTCTTTGGGGCCGATTCTGTTGTAAATCCATGGGTTGTCTGTATCTCATGGCTTGCATTCTATAGTTAGGTATCTGATTGGCACCTGTATTGCCAAATGTCTGTCCAAACCGGTCGTGAATACTGTTATTTTGTACAGAGTTTTGTTGGTTTGCGTTGAGACCTATTCCCTGAAGTGATGGCAATCTGGAGATAATGTTTGGGTTCGGGTTTTCTGGCGGACGAATGGCTTTCATTTTGTTCACAATATCGTTGACATCAAAGCCTTTCGGGCCGTCAATCACCTGCAGGTCATCGTTGAGGGACGTGTTGGCCGACGACGTGGCGGACGCGCTCTTGAAGTTCTCCAACGTCTTCAGCAACTCCTGCTGTTTCTGAATGAATCGCATGGCTTCGGCCGCTTTGGACACAGCCGTCGATTCGGCTGAAGACAGCTCTCTGTTTGATTCGCTCGGCTTTTGTTGATGTGTTGATTGGTTCACACCTTTGTTCCCGCAATCGATTTCAATCACTTCCACAGACCTATCATTCTTCGACTGTTCGGTGATTATCTCAATCGAGTCGTTCGATTCGTCCCTAAACATAGAGATCACAAGATTCTCCTCATTTGTATTGTCGTGTAGTTTGCTATCACTTGAGTCCAACTTCTTATGGCTTTGATGTGAATGGGGTTGTGATGGAGGGGCCGGTGGTGGTGGTGGTGGTGGTGGAGGTGCTGTAACCTCTTGAGGTAGAGGCGGCGGTGGTCTATGAGATGGGATGGGTTCGGGTGGGAGTGGGGGTTGAGATTGCGGTGGTTTTGGCTGCGATTGCATGACCTGACTGTACAACTGCTGAAGAGTTCTTTGCCTGAGTTCTTGCATCTGTTGCTGGCGTTCAACGAGCCGTTGACTCCATGTCTGCCACTGATTGACGTACGAGTGGTAAGCGTTGACATCGGGATGGGATCTATTGGCGAGTTTCCAGTTCTCGAAGTCCTTCTCCCAGTTCTTGAACGTCGTGTCGAAGGCCTCCTGTTCTTGGTTCAGCTGATCCAACACTTGCCGCTGATTGGCGTTCAAGAGGTGATGCCAATGGGTGTCTTCGTACGGGTTTGTGGTCTGTATTTGTCTTAAGTTGTGGTTCGCGTGACCTGAAGACTGATTGATGGCCATCGATGGCATGCGTTGAGGCGATGGATACGTTTGCGGCGATTGAGTGAACATGTGATTGATTTGCGGTGGGTATGCAGAGCTGATCCCATGGTGTGACGGTTGCTGAAGATGTGGTTGATATTTATAGAAATAATTAGCCGGCAATTGGTTTGAGTGCGGATTGAATGCATGGTTTTGTTGATAATAAGCGATGTGTTGCTGATTGGGTGGCAATTGCGTGGATCCGATGGCCACCTGATGGCCGTACGCCAGTGTCTGCGGCACTATCGGTGCGGTGATTGGCCACTGATTGCCGTTGTGTCCATACATCTGCACCCAAATTGCCGTTTAATCCGTCAATTACTGCCCGAAGTGAGTGTCAAATGAATGCAAAACATATGAAATACTGTTTGTTTTGATGTAAGCGTTGAGTGTATCATAAAATACGGCATAAATAATGTGATCATAAAAAGTGTTGATTTGAAAAGTTTTATAACACTTTTGTAATGAAATTATGCGATTAGATATCAATGATTTGAATTATAAGATGAATAAAAATAAAGTGTAGGAATTCTTCGGGTGGCCTTTAGTTCATCGCACTGCTCCTCCCAGGGGTAGTCCCAGGAATCCCAGGGCCAGTCCGAGGACTCGGAGTTGTCCGCCACAGACCTCCGAGCCGTTGGACTGGTCGTACCCCTCCTGCCTATCGTCGCACCACTCCTTACTCGTATACCCATCCAAAGCCAGTGCAATCCAAACCTGAATCACATCAGGTTCTGCCCGATTCACTGCTTCGGATCCGTTCTTAAGATATAACATCCACTGAATCATTTTGTTGTCTTTTTTGTTAAATCAGTTTATAAATCCTTTGAAGTTTAAAATTCTGTATAAAATTTGTGTTCAATTCTTGTCAAATAGTTATTAATTTTATAAATGTAATCAAAAATGTTTTAAACTATTATTGCAATTGGTTTTCAAATTAATTTTATTGACAGAAAAAAGCAATTAATTTGAATTCAATACAAGTTTTAAGTCGCGAACGAGTGATAAATCATTGTTTCGCTGTTTGTCTGCAAACTGAGGGTCCGGCGCGAGAAGTGGACCAACCGGGAGAGGGGGTCGACCCGCACGATACGGGCGCTCTCTTTACCGGCCCTCCTGTTCACAACCCGCTGGACACCAATAATGGGGGACGACAGCCCACAGTTTACACGCAGAACGGGCCGGTAGTGTGGGAACCCCACCCGGTGCCGACGAATGGGGTGACGGGATTTGACCCCAACAGCCAAATTGATCGGGCATTGGCTCGACAGCGAGACCCCACGCGGCCCCCAATCCGCACCATTTTGACGCCAATCAGCCGGAAGTGGAAGAGTGTCCGCACTCCCGCTCCAGAGATGCGACCCGTGAGTGGAGGCGCCGGAAAGGGTTAAAGCGTTTGCGGCGCAACGAGAGGGCCAAACAGGACAGACGGCGCGAGACCGATGCCATAGAGGAGGAGGTGACTGAGGCGATCGGTCCGGAGCCGGCCCCTCCTCCAGAAGTACTTCGCGCGCGACAACTCGGACGTCAGCGCTCGCGACTCGATCGGCTCCGGGATGAGAGAGAGTTCGGCCGCAGATCGCCGTCCAGGAGGGGAAGGGATCGCAGTCGACGCGACAGAGGGGGTGGTGGTCGGGGACACCGCTCTCGATCCCGTCGGCACCACTGAGCCCATCGTTTGTCATCTTGTATTTCTCCATCACTTCATATATCTCTCAAAAAAAAGTTTCCTTTCATTTAATGAATGATTAAATATATACAAACATTTTGCCACTAATTAGTATGAATTTGCGCACAGATATGACCACAAAATAAATCCTTAAATTAAATACACTTTCGATAAATTACAGCAAAAAAACTACGAAAACAAGTGTCGGTTGAATGTGTTGGCTGTCGTCGGAACCGCTTAACTGCTGGCGATCTTCTTCTCGATGTTCATAACC